GGGGGGGGCGCATGGGAAGTGGCCGTTTGTACAGGTGATTGTCTTGGACTGGTGGTTCTTAGCGCAGGTTCGACTGGAAGTAAAAACTAGTCTGCAACAACCAGCTTCTTCTTCTTCTTCTATCCCGTGGTTGGGGCAACCGTTGGGGCAACCGTTGGGGCAACCGTTGGGGCACCACTGCATTGGAAAACCAGCTCTCGCCATCTATTTTTGTCCTCTGCTCTCCTCAGATTGTCCCCCATCGTCTTTCCTGTCCACTCTGTAATGTTGTCCTCCCATCTCCTTCTCTGCCCTCCTCTCTTTCTCTTTCCCTGTACGGTTCCTTGCAGGATTGTTTTGGCAAGTCCTGTGGATCTTGTGACATGCCCATACCATTTTAGTAACACAGCTGTAACACTTCAAATTTTATGGGGGATGTAAGACAACACAGTACAAAGAAATTTTCATAAGAAGTGACTACACGGTAGCCTATAGGTGACTAAAAATACTAACCTTTGAGAAATTTCTACGGACAATATCTTTCCTCTTTTGAGCCAACTGACGTCTTTTTGAATGCTTTTGATCTAACCTCCTCATAGAGGCAGACTTTCTCCACGAGTAGATGGCATACCGGAACAGCCACAAGCCGGCTAAAGACAGCAATCCAATTCTTGTCCGTCGATGACTCACCAGGACCTCGAGAGCCGAAGCAATATTTTGCGGAGTCATCATTGCCCAAACAGCCTGAAAAAAACCCAACAATTAGGTCAACAGATGTTATCACCATCATCAACGCCTTTCACCCCTGGCAGGGTATAGGCCACATACAAGCTCCTTCCATTTATCTAAGTCCTGGGCCACCCTTCCCAGCTCGTTCCAAGTGAGCTTCATCTCTCTCATGTCCCTTTCCACGCATCTCCTCCATGTTTCCCGTGGCCTAACCCTGCCCGTGCTCCCTGTGGGTTCCACTGCAGCGATTGTCTTGTACTGTTTTTACTGTGCTTTCGGAAGGTGTGTCCCATCCATCGGCCACATTTTTAGTCCTATTTCTACTTCTATAAACGGATGTTATGTTTCTGTAGTATTTCACATAAAAGCTTATTCTGTGATAACATGTTTCTTCCTTTAGTTTTTTCCCTACCCGTAGTAAGAAAACACTGTCATGATGTTGGCTTCTATCTATATTTTTGTATGTCGTCTAATTTTTAAAAACAACAATAGCATAAAATCACAATAAATAATTGTCTATGCACCATTTTTGGGGAAGCTTTCCTTTATTCCTTTCCTTGTGTCATAATAACCACTTTATTCCTTTCCCAGTACCACTGCAATATGTGAGGCAGCGTGGTGGAATCAGGCTCTCGTCAATTTTTTGGCATGTAGAGTTATTGGTATCATCTTATAGCTTGTTCACTTGTCTTTATTTTGATGAAAAAAATATTCATTTATTTTGAATACAAGTCGAGATATTTGAGAAAGAAGGAGGTGGGGTCACCTGTTTTCAGAAGTAAAATTAGTGAGAAAATGGCCGCCAAAGATTAGTTATTTCCTTAGTTTAAGAGTCCGTGGTAACTGAAAATTTACATTTTGTGTTCCTGTGTCAACTTTTTTCAGAAAAATTCACACAGAACTGAGTCCTTTGATGAGCATGAAAGGTGTGAGCCAAAAAAACAAATATTCGATAAAAAATCGCAAGCATGCGGAAAAATCAAGTTTCTTCACTTTGATTATTTTGACGAGAGCCTGATTCCACCACGCTGCCTCACATATTATCTCTTCTTGGTAGCAGCCATGCGCTTGGCGTCCCATAAGAAAAGAACAGATTTTAGCCTGCAACCTAACTGGCGAGAAAAAGATGTGCTATAAACTACAAATACGTCTAAAGAACCTAACCCTAAGTTAGTTTTAGTTGAGGTTTTACGGCGCTCGCAACTGCATAAAGTCATATGAGCGCCAGAAGATTAGAGCTGTTACAAGAAAGTAACAAACATAAAAAAGACGAAGGGGAGATAAGGACGATATAATAATGTGTTTGATAAGAAAGAAGAAGCAAACCATATCAGAGCACCCGCCAACCACCCACTCCTAACCCTAAGGCAACAGATGGCATCCACTTAGCCTAAAGATGCTAAAACAGCAGCTAGACATGAATGGTTGGTACCTCTGTAGAAAAGTCAAGTCAAGTAACCAAAAATTGCCCTCTCCTCCACGTCTAATAATACAAGAGGAAGGATAAAGTAAAGGGAAAGAGTACATATGTGAGGCAGCGTGGTGGAATCAGGCTCTCCTCAAAATAATCAAAGTGAAGAAACCTGCATTTTTCCACATGTTTGTGAATTTTAATAAAATTTTTGTGTTTTGGCTCAACTTCTTTCAAGCCCATTAAAGAACTAATTGCTGTGTGGATTTTTCATGAAAACGTTGATTAAAGGCACAAAAAATGTAAATTTTCAGTTACCACGGACTCTTAAGCTAAGCAAATAACTAATCTTTGGCGGCCATTTTCCCACTAATTTTACCTCTCAAAACAGGTAACCCACATCCTTCATTCTCAAATATCTCCATTTGTATTCAAGATTAATGGATATTTTTTTTCATCCAAATAAAGACAAGTGAACAAGCTTTAAGATGATACCAATAACTCTACATGCCCAAAAATTGACGAGAGCCAGATTCCACCACGCTGCCTCACATATTTTGTCGGTGGGCCAGGGAGAACGGTCTAGCTGAGGATACCCTTCTTTATACAGCAGTCTCAGTCTGAGATCCCGTTGCTTACGATTCTGGCTCCCTTTAAGATCTCGCTGTTTTAAGAAAACATAATCTTTACTACGCAAAAGTCACCCCTAATTTAAGATCTCGCTCGGACATCGATTACATTCGGCAAAGATCCCGTATTTCAAATAATAATTAATTTAATTTACGGAACAAAAACTTGGGCGGGCAAGCAGGGAAATCTGGGATAACTGAACTGCCCATTGCGTCACAAATAATCTGTGCTCGTGAATGTGATCACATCTCGGTTGTGAGTCTCGATTAAACGATACCATGTTTGTCTCCGTCGAGATCAAACAGAGATGTGAACTCCACGACATCATGTTTGCTTCCCCCAAACATCGCACTCGCCTCTGAGCTCTCCACCTGAACTTACATGTGAACCAGTTGAGATGACACACATCATCACGTTGATGTTTACTGTCGTAACAAACATCTTCAAAACTCTAGTACTGTAATGAAAGGGTGCATTTATGACAAGGGTGCTTCATTTCTTTTCAATCTGGTGTTTATTTTAGGCAAATATAGACGCAGTATGGCGTAATAGGGACATAATTTGCCGTGTTCAAAAACTAGATGACAAAACTGGCGGTGTTTAAATGTTGGGTTGCCTAGCGTTCTCTATACAAAGATTTCACCCCCCACACACACAGCACCTTTCCCAGCTCAGATGAAAACGACCAAGATCACCATGGCATAGATTTTCAAGTAAACAACCAACACATATTACTATATATGCCTCAACGAACCTGCACCGTAGCAGGGAAAAAAACTATTACGGGTATGGTGAAGATCTGATACTTCTCTGTTGCATTTTGGGCTTTAGAGAACGACTGCAACAACAACAACAACAACAACAACAACAACAACAACAACAACAACAACAACAACAACAACAACAAATATCTACACTGACGGCTCGGCTAGGGCAGGGACAACGGACGGCGGCGCTGGAGTCGTCATCACAACGGGGAACCCTTCCAACCCTACCGTTGTCGAGACATTGAGGGAGAAAGGCGCCATATTTACGTGCTCTTTCGAGGAAGAAAGGAGAGCCTTGGAAATGGCCATTGACTGGATTGACAAAGAGTGCGATGCATCCAACTCGGTCGCTATCTTCACCGACAGTCAATCACTATGCATGGCACTAGTGGGAACATCACCATCCTTCGACCAATTGCGACTACGCATAAGTAATGCAATACCTCAACCCACGATTCAGTGGATCCCTGGTCACCGCTATATCCTCGGCAACGATCTCGCTGACAGTAATGCCAAACTGGCAACAGCGCTGCCGGGTCCAGGCCGCCAAATTACTTATGACAGTGCGTGCGCCCAGATAAAACTAATTACAAAACACCCCCCTATATGCCACACGCGGACGAAGGAAGTATACGGACGAAGGAAGTATACAGGGCATTTTCCTTAAAACGAGAGGCTCTTATTATGTCCCGCAGTGACCAGTCACTACTGGCAAAAATCAGGACCGGTCATTTCTCTGGGCTTCGGGCCTACAAAAATAGAATAGACAAAACATCGGACCCAATATGTCCATTGTGCAGCGAGGAGCCCCAAGATTTGGAGCACTGGCTGCAGAGATGCCCCGCCATGGAGGCCCGGCGGTGACATCTCTTCGGGGAGGATTCAGGGAGGTGTGACTGCCTCAACCGCTACCCAAGGGAGGCGGTGGCCCTGGCGAAGAACACACTCTTCGGGGCTCCAAACATTTCGAACGGATAGGCTATCACACACACACACACACACACACACACACACACACACACACACACACACACACACACACACACACACACACACACACACCAACAACAACAACAATAACAACAGCAACAACAACAACAGCAAGAAGAAGTCTTTCAGAAGAGCCGAATCTAGTCCAGAAATACAGAACATTCTACATTGTGTTCTGCCCCTGGCATCTCGGAATGTGACGTATTGAGGCCAATGACACAGTTAGAGTGTACTGTAAGCTCTCGACCTGGCCCAGATAGTGTGTTGATACCAAGGACCTTGGCAGAAGATATTTGGAGACGTCTCCGGCGAGCACCCAGAAACTATTCGGAGACGCATTCCCGCACACAGAAACACTGCTTGGGGACTTAACAAAATGTACTATCTTTGGTGTACTAACAAAAAAAAAAAAAAAAAAAAAAGAAAAAAAGAGCACGATCAGACACCACGGGTGAATCCAACGACGGCGTTCATTCAGATTGTGTTTGCAGCAGCACGAAAATAAAAAGCAATGTAAGTTCAGACGTTTACCATTCAGACACCCTAACAATAGATCTAGACGTTGCTCTTTGGCACTGTTATAATTCCTGACCTCCGTAGGCTACATTTCTTTGTTTAAATCCTATCACTCAGTTAAAAGGTACGCTTGGTGGGACCAAACTCCTCTTCACTGACAGTCGACAATTCACAAATGAAGTGGCTCTTCATCTGTCAGTCCACTGACTTAGTCATTGAAGCACTCTGTCGTGCCAAGGTAGAGCAACGTATCTGCACTTTTTGAGTTAGGTCGCACTGCCGTTGGAAACATGGGCATGGCCCTTCAGTTACGTCTGTTTGCCATAGTGAAATATCCTATTTGTAGTGCAGATGCGTCTTCCTGCCTTTGACACAACATGCAGAAAAGTTATAGGCGTCCATTTATACGAAGATACAAAAAAATATGACACAGGTCGCTTCTCTAGGAGTACAAAGTTCTATATGCCCAGTACCTAGTTTTGAGAAATTTGACCTAGAAAATTTATTTTCTCAACGTGTCAAGCTTTTTTTAATACAATTCTTTGAATATTGTTCTAATACCAACTCCGAATAATCTTACGATTTTGATAGTGCAGATAGAACATTTGGTTTCTGACCTCATCAAGGTCTTTGTAACTAAAAACGGCCAAAAATATCAGATAGAACTTTATAATTCTAATGTAGCGAGGTGTCAAACCCAAAGCCCGCTGGCCGCATCGGGCAAGTGAATAATTATTAAGTATGACTGGCCCACGAGAGAATTTGACGTAGTCCATCCTGAGAATTTCCATAACTCAGAACCTTACACTCCAAACTTTCTGAACAAATTTGCTGCCAAGAAAAGGTGCCAAACGCCCATCTCTAACAAATCTGCGTACTAAAAGCGAGGATTAGTATGCCTTGAATAAAAAAAAATAAATTCAACTGTTGTCTGTTTTCATCCATACCATTGTTCTAAAAAGGGTGAGTTTTCCCCGGGGCGGTGCTACTGACTGAAGTGTTTTTATGTCATTCCCAAAGGAGATATATTAATATGTTCTGATGCACAGTAGAATTGTAAATTGTATATGGGCTGATTCCTCAATGTCATGCTCATAACTGTACCTGAACTGCAACAGGGAACTGCTGCTTTTTCTTTCCAAATCCTTACTATCGTCATTTTTCCTCCACTTCTTTCGTATGTTTGTCACACTCTTGTGACCCGCTATTTCCAGGGTGCCTTGATAGACGAAACGGACTTTGTGCTGTTGGAACTAGAGAGGTGAGCAGAGTAAGCCCGATTCCCTGTAAAGACTTCTCTGTTGACTTTCACCCCTTGGCGCTCATATGACCTTATGCAGTTGCGAGCGCCGTAAAACCTCTACTAAAACCTAAAACTAAAAAAGCTGTGACCCGAGAAAAAGATCATCTTAACCGATGATCAACTCAAGCGAATTAAACACACGTGGAGTGAGCTGTAAATGTAATTTGAGTCTCCCCCCCCCCCCTTGAGCGATTGAGTTTGACGCCCCTTGTCTAGTGTATTACGATTCAAGCACAAAGTATTCAGTATGTGGTAAACGCTGTTATTGATAATAATAGATGACATTAATTTGTATAGCTCAAATCCCGCTCAACAGCGAGCTCTATGCGCTTCACAAACTATCTTATTACCCCTGCAGACCTGAGATCATTCTGAAAAAATCTCAACTTCTTGGGAAGCATACAGAGCAAGCAGCCATTTATAGGCACTAAAACACTAACATACTCACAAAATCTTTCGTGTATGTGGGCGGGTACCCATTCCCACATGGGTGAAGTGAGAAAAATTCGTGTAAATTTGTAAAGTTCCTTTCCCAAGGACACAACGTCGGGCCCGCTGCTCGAATCCCCGATCCCGCACAGGGATGATTTTATCTTTATCACCCCTAAACTTTAACTAAGGTGAACAGAAGAAGAAGAAAAGGAGGGGGATGAGGGGGGATGGGGGTCTCTGCGAGCTTGAATCCAAAACTTAACCCCCCCCCGCCTTTTTTTACGGATCTTCTCCTAACATCTCTTTTGCCTCTATTCTATTCCCTTCAAACTGCCTTCTTGAAGTGTAGGCCAAATTGGTCGCTTTTAAGGGCAAGCGGGCTAACCCAGATTTCGGGGGTTTTCAGAAATCTTGACCAACACCAAAAAAAAAAACGGGCATTGCTCTACCTATTGGAGAAGTTTGGTTTCATTGGTGTCTATATTTGCTTGGTTATAGAGAAAACTCTCCTTGTTTAAAAAAAAAGAAACTGAACAAGGGGCAAAAACTTTACTTTCGATTTTTTCAAACAACATGTTCCGGGATAGCCTCCTTATGCTTAAAAGCGACCAATGAAATGTAAACTGACTAAAATCTCTCTAAACCACCCCCTTGAACTGTATCTTTAAGTGTAGATTGACAATATTAAATACACGATGAGAATTATAAGAGTCGTATAGATGCGTTCTGGCAATAACAGATGACAACTGTATCCTTTTTCAGCGACTTTCCTTCATTGCGCTGCATGTCGTGTCTGTAGCTGGCCTTTGAAACAGCTGTTGCCATGAAGGGAGAAGGACTGACGGTCTCAGCGAATGTGCTGCTCTTGGCATGTTGCTTTTCTCCCTGGAAAGCTTTTGTAATCTGTTCTGAAAACGGTAAGTTGAAAAAGGTGCGGGCTGGAATCGTGCTATCGTAGAAGAACATTTCAAGTGGATATACTATACATACTGGTATGGCTATACCATCATCCAGTGCCAGATCTGCGACAGACATCGGGACTCATGGTTCTCCATTCATTCCGTTGCTCGGATGCTCTAAAAAAAGTTACGTTTCCCTGATCTTTCCCTGTTACCCATTTCTACAGGTTGCCCAAATAGATTGTTCTGGGCCTACCCCTGCCTTGTTGGTATGACTATACCATGATGTAATCATTGAAACGCATTTATTATTTAGATTTAGACTGATGGCATCTCACGATAAAATCTCATAAGTCCAGAGAAGAAAAGTTAACCTTCACCACTCACCCTCCCCTCTCCTCCCCTTTTAC